CTTCAGGATAAAAATCAAAATATCATAACATGCTGGAAAAAAAATCATATTTGTCACCTGAATTTTCTTCATTACTGGGAGGCAAAAGGTATAGTGAGAGAGAGAGACAGAGAGACCACAGAGAGGAGTTTTACCTTGTACTCATGCTAGGTTTCTTTTTTCTTTCTTCCATTTCTAGAGCTTGATACATGTTATTTTTGCCAACAAAAATATCTATATATCTTCTTCTTACTATTTAGTCTCTAAGTTGTATACTTCCCAGTTGCCATGTTATTGTAGCAGATTTACCAGGTATCTTTCTGCTGCTCCTCTAATGCCCTGCTGCTTTGCTTCTCTTCTGTGCTAACATTTTAGTGCATTGAGAGGCCAAGATAGGCAGATCACTGGAGGTCAGGAGTTCAAGACCAGCCTGGCCAAGATGGTGAAACACCATCTCTACTAAAATACAAAAATTATACAGATGTGGTGGCACGCACCTGTAATCCCAGTCTACTCTGGAGGCCGAGGCACAAGAATCACTTGAACCTGGGAGGCCAAGGTGGCAGTGAGTCAAGATTGTTCCACTGCACTCCAGCCTGGGCAAAACACACTGTCTCAGAACAACAACAACAATAACAACAAAATTTTAGTTCAGTATTCTCATTGCCAGTTCACTATGTCTGATGTCCATTAGACTGGAAGTTCATGTGAGGAAGACATTTCTTTTTTTTGTAAAATTTTTCCCAAGGAATAAACAAATGAGTACTAAAATGTTGTTGTTATATTCAGGATAAATATTTTCTTGAAATATTAATAAAGTGATGATATAATAATGTTTATTTAAAATATATTAGTTTTGTATACATCCGTATGTTCCAGAAAGTCTGATAGATGATGAGATTTAAAGATATATCAGTGAGAGTCTTTATTTTTTGAGCCAGAGTCTCAGTCTGTTTCCCAGGCTGGAGTGCAGTGGCGTCATCTTGGCTCACTGCAACCTCTGCCTCCTGGTTTCAAGCGATTCTCCTGCCTCAGTCTCCTGAGCAGCTGGGACTATAGGCACACACCACCACGCCCAGCTAATTTTTGTAATTTAAATAGAGATGGGGTTTCACTACGCTGGTCAGGCTAGCCTTGAACTCCTGACCTCAGCTAATCCACCCGCCTTGGCCTTCCAAAGTGCTGGGATTACAGGCATGAGCCACTTCGCCTGGCCCAGATAGTCTTTGATAGAAGAAGTTCATACTAAGGAGTATTTACTAAGTAGTGTGTGTATACTCCTTAGTATGAACCTCTTTGTTCACTATGAAGTATGCACCTCTAAGTATCATCATATACTATATCATATTTAATCTATTCCTATAGTGATTAGATTAAATATGATATAGTATATGATGTCAACAAAATAATATTTCCACGTACAAATATTTTCTAATTTTGAATTCTATCTTGTATGTGATGTTAAAAAGAATTTTATCTACACGCCTAAATATGATTTTTATCCAAATTTCAAGCTTCGGGTGAAAAGTTCATCATGTAGTTTTAATTTCCTGAAATAATCAGATACTAATTAAGAAAAATATAAGACTGGCATTATAGTTGTACATGTGATTTGATGGAGCAATTGGATTGATTTAAAGTATTTCTAAGCAGTTTGATTACAGTAATGTACCCATAAGCAGTTGAAAATTTAAGATAAAATATAGTTTATCACAACATAAATTTGGATTTCATTACATGTACATAGCATATAATAATGAGAAAAATTGATACTATTTCTATATTAAGTTGATGATTATGGTGATGTTAATGATTATTCTTTCCCATATATATGATACATTGCAGTGCTTCACGATGTCAAGTTGTGAAAACTTTATTAGTGATTCTCTCTTCGAAGTATTACTCTTAGAAGTTGTGATGGTTAATTTGAGTGTCAACTTGATTGGATTGAAGGTTGCACAATATTGTTCCTGAGTGTGTCTGTGAGGGTGCTGACAAAGGAGATTAACATTTGAGTCAGACCCATCCTCCATTCAGGAGAACCCCATCTTTGACTGCACTCAGCAGTGAAAGGGAAAGTGGGTATAGCTACTGTAATGGACAGAAGAGGCAAGGCAGCAATCAAAATAGTCAGACTCGTGTAGAGCTCTGGCATTGGCTAATTAATCACAGAGTTCCTAGAAGTGAAATTGATAGGAAGTCTATCATATTCTTACTTTATTTATATAAGCAGAAAACTTCCCAGTCAAGTGGACAAAAAACTAAAGAGAATCACAGATCCCACATACAGAGGCTGCTAAGATTTTGGAGCAAGGCCCTACCAAATCCTGCAGATAACTACTCTCCTTTTGAGAGACAGGTCTTAGCCTGTTCCTGGGCTTTGGTGGAAACTGAATGTTTGACTATGGATCCTCAAGTCACCATGTGACCTGGACTGCCAGTCATGAACTGGATACTTTCTGACACATCTAACCATAAAGACAGTCATGCACAGCAGCATTCCATCATCAAATAGAAGTGGCAGATATGCAAATCGGTTCAAGCAGGTCCTGAGGGCACAAGTTGGTTACATGAGAAAGAGGCTCAAATGTCCATGGTCCCTATCCTGCCACTGTGCCTTCTCTCCCCCAGTCTGTACTGGTGGCCTTATAGGGAGTTCCCTATGAGAAGTTGACAGAGCAGGAGAAGACAAGGGCCTGGTTTACAAATGGCTCTGCCTGATATGTAGTCACTACTGAAAAATGGACAGCTACCGCACTACAGCCCCCTTCTAGGACATCCCCGAAGGACAGTGGTAAAGGGAAATCTTCCCAGTGAGCAGAACTTTGAGCAGTACACCTGGTTGTGCACTTTGCTTGGAGCGCAAATGGCCAGATGTGCGATTATCTACTGACTCATGTGTTGTGGCCAATGGTTTGGTTGGATAGTCAGGAACTTGGAAGAAGCATGATTAAAAAATTGGTGACAAAGAAACTTGGGGAAGAGGCATGTGGATGGACCTCTCAAAGTGGTCAAAAACTGTGAGGATATTTGTATTTCATGTGAGTGCTCACCAAAGTGTGACTTCAGCAAAGGAGAAGTTTAATAATCAATTGGATAGAATGACTCATTCTGTGGACACCACTCAGGCACTGCTGTCATTGGCCAATAAGCCCATGAACAAAGTGGCCATGGTGGCAGGGATGGAGGTTACGCATGAGCTCAGCAACATGAACTCACACTCACCAAGCCTGACCTGGCAGCTGCCACTGCTGAGTGCCCAATTTATCAGCAGCAGAGACCACACTGACCCCTTGATATGGCCCATTCCTTGGGATGATCATGCAGCTACTTGGTGGCAGGCAGATTATATTGAACCTCTTCCATCACGGCAAGGACATTGGTTTGTCCTCACTAGAACAAACACTTATTCCGGATGTGGGTTTTCCTGTCCTGTATGCAATGCTTCTGCCAAGACTATCATTTGTGGACTCATGGAATGCCTTAGCCACCATCATGGTATTCCACATAGCATTGCCTCTGAAAAGGCATTCACTTTATCACCAAAGAAGTGCAGCAGTGGGCTCATGCTCATGGAATTCAATGGTCTTACCATGTTCCCCATCATCCTGAGGCAGCAGGATTGATAGAACAGTGGAATGGCATTTCAAAGTCACAATTACAAGGCCAACTAGGTGACAATAAGTTTGAAGCCTGGGGCAAAGTTCTCCAGAAAGCTGTGTATGCTCTGAATCAGCCTCCTCTATATGGTACTGTTTCTCCCATAGCCAAGGTTCACAGGCCCAGGAATCAAATCAAAGGGTGGAAGTGGAAGTAGCACCACTCAACATCACCCCTAGTGACCCAGTTGCAAAATGTTTGCTTCCTGTAACTGCACCATTACATTCTGCTGGCCTAGAAGTCTTAGATCCTGAGGGAGGAATGTGACTCCCAGGAGACACAATGATTCCGTTAAACTGGAAGTTGAGATTGCCACCTGGCCACTTTGGGCTCCTCCTACCTCTAAGTCAACAGGCTAAGAAAGGAGTTACAGTGTTAACTGGGGTGACTGGCCCAGACTATCAAGATAAAATCAGTCTACTACTCCACAGTGGAGGTAAGCAAAAGCATGCGTGGAATACAGGAGATTCCTTAGGACATCTCTTAGGATTATTATGCCTTGTCCTTAAAGTCAAATGGAAACAACAGCCTGATTTAGGTAGGACTACAAATGGCCCAGGCCTTTCAGGAAACAAGGTTTGTATCACGCTACCAGGTAAAAAATCATGACCTGCTGAGGTGCTTGCTGAAGGCAAAGGAAACATAGAATGGGTAGTAGAAGAAGGTAGTCATCAATACCAGCTATGGTCATGTGATCAGTCGCAGAAATGAGGACTGTAATTGTCATGAGAACATGTTTGCACTTCTATACACTTGTACTAAGAAGATATCTTTATTTTTTTTCTTTTTTCTTTATCATGTGATATAAGATTTATTGACTTCATATCAGCATTTAAATGTTGTTAACTTTATATAATAGCATTTAGGTTAAGAATTAGTGTGTGCTTCTGGTTGTAAGAAGGATAGCTTTATTATGTTAGGCATAATTATGGTCTTTTTATGGTCTTTATATGGATATTATGTATGATTTCAGGAGATGTGTATGGGTTCAAGTTGACAGCGGGTGGACTTCTGATGGTTAATATTGAGTGCCAACTTGATTGAATTGAAGGATGCAAATTACTGTTCCTGGGTTTGTCTGTGAGGGTGTCACCAAAGGAGATTAACATTTGAGTCAGTAGAATGGGAGAGGCAGACCCACCCTCAACCTAGGTGGGCACCATCCAATCAGCTGCCACTGCTGCTAGGATAAAAGTAGGCAGGAATGTGGAAGGACCAGGCTAGCTGAGTCTTCCGGACTTCATCCTTCCCCTATGCTGGATGGATATTTCCTTCCCTCAAACATCAGACCTTAAGTTCTTCAGGTTTTGGACTCGTGGACTTAGACCAGTGATTTACCAGGGACTCTCAGGCCTTCTGACACAGGCCAAAGTTTGCACTATTAGCCTCCCGATGTTTGAGATTATGAGACTCAGACTAGCTTCCTGACTACTCACCTTGCAGATGGCCTATTGTGAGACTTCAGATTGTCATCATGTGAGTCAACTCTCCTAATCAACGCCTCTTGACATATTCATCTAGCTTATTAGTTCTGTCCCTTTAGAGAACCCTGACTATTACACAAGTGCTAATGCAATATTGTCAATTCTAGTATAAACCACACTTATCTCTCTTTGAGAATACAAAATAATTTTATATAGTTACTTGGGAAGAAGAAAATAAATTAGAAAACAGTAAATAAACTACCTATACTCATGTAAAGCAAGGCATTCATAAAAAATAAGAGAAAAGCAATAACTTGGGCAATTGAAAGAAGAAAGGATTGACATCAATTTGTAATGGAAAGCAATGGTTATGTCTAGTCCTGAAAAGTCAACTACAGTCTTTGGGTAATTACATGGATTCATGGTAACTGATTCCACTCTTTTGTTTACTCAGTTTTGTGAATGACACAGTGGGTCCCCAATCAGTGTTCATTGGAGTTACTCAGGGAGCTTGTTTGAAATGGAGATTTCTTGGCAGTACTCCCAGAAATTCTGATTTACCAAGTCTTGAAAGAAGTACAAGCATCTTCCCTTTAGGAAATGCCCCAGGTTTCTCTGATGCAGGTGACTGTGATTCACATTGAAGGAGACCAATAGAGAAGAAAAGGCCAACCCAAGGATGCCTACTTTCAAAATTAATAGGGTTATTAACACCTTTTTTGAAAAACAGTCTGGCCAAATTAAAGAGGAGAATATTTCTGCCCAAACATCACAAAGATTCCACACCTTTTTGTCACTTGATCACTTGTAAAGTTAACTATGGTCACCCAGGTGAATACGTTGTAAGTCAACCAGTGCTGGTTCACAGAAATGCAGGCCTAGGAACAGAGGGGAAAAGTTGAAGTGGAATGCTTTTTTGGATGCATGGTAAGCTGGGGCACAGAGATAGAGGAGGCATGAGAAGGAGGACAGACTCACAGTCCCACCTGAAAATCTGCAGAATCTCACAAGGCTATTAAGGCTCTGTTGAATGAAGCCTCAGCTTCTTTTCTGAATGTCTACTCCTTGAAAGCAACTATTCCACACTGCTTGAGTATCTGACCTCACGATGACTTTTCTTTTTTTTTTTGTTTCGGAGACGGAGTTTCGCTCTTGTTACCCAGGCTGGAGTGCAATGGCACGACCTTGGCTCACAGCAACCTCCGCCTCCTGGGTTCAGGCAATTCTCCTGCCTCAGCCTCCTGAGTAGCTGGGATTACAGGCACGCGCCACCATGCGCAGTTAATGTTTTGTATTTTTTAGTAGAGACGGCGTTTCACCATGTCGACCAGGACGGTCTCGATCTCTTGACCTTGTGATCCACCCCCCTCGGCCTCCCAAAGTGCTGGGATTACAGGCGTGAGCCACCACGCCCAGCAACTTTTCATATCTATGCCTTTGCTTAAAATGTTTCCTCAACCTAGAATAGCCTCCTTTCTTCCATGATGATTTTTTTTTAATCTTCTAAAGTCTCAGCTCATATGGAGCTTCCTATGTGACATGCTATGTTTCAGTCTTTGAAGGAATTAATTTTTCCTTCAAAAAATTACTTATTATATTCTCTCCGGGAGCACTGTGTATTTTGATTTTTTATTTGATGTATTTAGCCAGATAGTTGCGTCGCTCATGACATTTTCAGTTCCTAGAGGCCAACCAATATGGTTTCTAAATTTTCTTTTCTTCAATTGACTTGTCTGATTGCCAAGAGCCCCATATGGGAGGCAAGCTTCTATAATGGCTCCCAGTGATGCCAGTGGCCTGATATTCACACCCTTGAGTAACTCTTTTCTTTTAAGTATGGCCTGAATCGCATGGTTTGCTTCCAGTGGAGAGAATGTGGGAAAAGAGGAGATGTCATTTCTGACATGAAGTTATAAAAAGCTGACTTTCATCTTTTTATACTCTTTTTCTCTCTGTCTTGCTCATTTTGATCATGCGAGCTGCCACGTTGTGAACTGCCCAATGGAGATGCTCCTGTGGCTGGAATCTGAGAGCAGCCTCAGATCAAACAGCCAGTGAGACTCAGTCCCATGTCCAACAGCCTACAGTACACTGAATTTTGCTATCAACCACTGAGTCAACTTAATTGCAGTCTTAGTAAACAAAGCTTCACCATAAATGGATTTCTAACCCTCTAATCTGTAAAATAATGCATGTTTTTAAACTATCAAATTTGGTGTCATTTGTGATATAGCCTCAGTAACTGATGCCTCACACATAAGGAAGAAGTTTTTCTTCTAAGTTCTTGCAGCCTTCCTCCCCAAGAATTGAAGACCTGCTCATGAATAGCAGTTTAGTACCTGAGAACATCTTTCCAATAAATGATGCTGTCTTTCCACCCTTAAAATATACATATGATCCACTTCAGATTACCTGCATTATGCTCCACCCATTTTTAGGATATTTGTGACTTCATCTTCTATTTATGTGCCAGCCTCCATCCCATTTATAATTAAGATTGCCTTATTCAAGGGCACCATATTGAGAGTGCCATATGCTCTCTGCATCATTGAACATATTTGCCAGAAAGTCTTATTTCTTCCCACACTCTGCCCTGATTTTGAAGGTCTACATTGGTTCCTATGTGTTGTGTATCTTAACTAATTCTCATCATTCAATAATCCCAAGAGAGAACTTATAATGACACCATTGGGCACAAGTTAAAAAACACATAGTTTGCATATCATAATGATTAAGTACGTTTTTGTTCATCAGTTCCCAACTGAGATATTGAGAAATTGTTGATAATGAGGCTGTACTTTTTCAGTATTTCAAAAAGTCTGGCATGTTAGCTATTACATATCATTTTGTTATAAGGTTAGTGGACATATCATTTTGTAATTATATCATCTGAGTGTGCTATTATGTTGTTCAAATAATCCGATTGTCACTCTGATTAAACATAAAGCTATTTAATAAATATTGCTTTAATAAGAGTATGATGTCAGGTTGATAAAATCTTTCAATGTACAAGGGAAATTATCACAAAAGATCCCTCACAATTAAGTTATTAGGAACTCTTACTGTAGCTTGAGAATCTGATAATTCACATTTGTTGGGGATAGATAGAAATCTACCTAACTATCCCACTGTCATGTACATACTATTATATACTTATTTTTCTATTCTATTTTGAATCTTTGTTTTTTCTTTCTAAAATGCAAATTTTCATTGAATTTTGATATGTAAGCCATCTATCGAATAAGCTTAAATGTAGATAGATGATATGCATTTCACTTCAACTATATGTACATTGCAAATAAAAGTATTGCCCTTTTTGTTATATTATTGTTTATCTATGCAATGGAAATCACCTTGACAATTGTTACCACTAACTTTTTTTTTTTTTTGAGACAGAGCCTCACTCTGTCACCCAGGCTAGAATGCAGTGGCATGACCTCAGCTCACTGCAACCTCTGCTCCCGAGTAGCTGGGATTACAGGCACCCCCACAATGTTTAGCTAGTTTTTGAGACAAGGTTTCACCATGTTGGCCAGGCTGGTCTCGAACTCCTGACCTCAAGGAATCCACCTGCCTCGGCCTCCCAAAGTGCTAGGGTTGCAGGCATGAGCCACCGCGCCCAACCTACCACTAACTTTTTAAGTTAATTTTTAAGGCGGCAGATACAATTGTATGTATTTACCATTTGTACTCCAGTGTTTTGAAACACATAATCACTGTAGAATTAGTAACTCTAGCTAATTCACATATGCACCTTCTCAAGTAGTTCTAATTTTTGTAGGAACATTTTATATCCACTCTGTCAGCATTTTTCAGGAATACAATATATTAACTACAGTCACCATGTTGTACAATATATCTCTTGAATTTATTCCTCCTGATTAATTTTTTTTTTACTACTTGACCAACATCTCCCAATCACACCCTGTAAATTATTTAAAATAAATAAATGAAGCATAGACAAGTGAATATGTTCCCTGTGAAACTGTTGTCAATCTAACCCACAGAATGTGTTTTGGAATGACAGACTCCAGAGCGCTGGTCCTTGCCTGGTCATCATTAGCTGTTTGACGTTGAGCTACAATAAAAATATCTCTGAAAGTCCATTTCCTCATGCCTACAATGTGAACAAGAGCACTCACTTTGTAGGTGTACTGAAAGAATCAGATGAGTTAAAGCTATTAAAAGAGTTTATTACTTTATTCTATTGTTAATCTTATTCTAACAAAAATTAGGTACTCACTTCTCATATGGTCTGATAATATCATTTCATAACTATGGCATATAAGCAAAAAAAAATGCTTCAGAAAATTTTGTTAGAAAAATCTATATTTTTTGGTTTAAATTCTTCATGATCATACTGTGGTAAATCATAACCTTCTGTGATCTCCCTCTGCAGTTTATATGACAGCTCACTTAAAGCTAATTTCCCTGGAATTCAGCATAATTTGCATAGTTATTACTTACCAAAATTCATCAATCTGGTCAATTTATAACTACTCCTAAATTGTAATGTCCTTGAGAATAGACATCAGTCCTAATCAATTTTCTCCTTACTCACAACAAATAATGTTTTGCTCATAGATAGTGCTCTATACAAGTGATATCAAAAATGCATGAATTTACGTTGAATGTGAATTATAGATACCAATCTTGAAATTTGATTTTTTGTACATATGAGGATGATATTACTCTATGTGAAATTTTAAAAAGTAGCTCCATGTAGAAGATAACCTTAAAAATTAATTATCTAACAACTTATTCACAACTCATAATGATACAGTTGTATGTAAACTTTTTTCAATATAGCATTTAGTAAGGCAACTGACTGTTTTTTTTTTTTTTTAAACTTATTCCACAATAAATGGGACCGATTCATTACCATTTGGATAACTAATAGGATCAAGAAAAGAATTGTCTCTAGTATCATCTTTTCATTTTATAATCATATAAAATATATTCTAAGGATTTAGTGAAGTTATGTTTAGTTATCTTTATTCACTTTCTTTTTCCTTTGGTTATTTTGTTTTTCTTTTTTGAGACCGAGATCTCACTATGTTGCTCAGACTGGTCTTGAATTCTGGCCTGAAGTGATCCTCCCACCTCAGCCTCCTGAATAGTTGGGACTGCGTTACAAGCCACCTGTCTAAATAGTTACCTTTAATTAATGATGTTTGTTAAAGTAACACAAAAATCCTAGAAACATTTGCCAGTTAAAACTTTCTGATAATTTGAATGAAGTAAAGTTTGGAGTCTCTGTCTCATTAAAAATACTCAAGGTCAATGTAATAAAAACAGCAAAGCAGTAATGCATAAAAGAATTAATAGAAATCTAATAAAATTATTTGGACCTCCAACAATAGCAACACTGATTAATGACTGCTTTTTAATTAATTGGAAGTTGTTCAGTCATCACCTGAGAGTTTTTATGAAAGGGTCAGAAACAAAACATATGCTAGTTCAATCTGCAATAAGGTATACTTAAGCAATTTCATTCTTCTTGGCAGGGCAAGTGTGGGCTATTCATCTCTCATTTATTCATGATGATTATATTCCCTGCTCAGCTAGCTAGTTTGATCAATGAAAACAGTCTTAGGCATTAGAATACAAATAAAGTTTACTTTTAAGCAGTGCATTCAAACAAAATAAAAAACCCATGATTACCTATTCTTCATATAGAATCTTTAATTACCACAGGATATGTGTTTAGCCTCTTTATTTTTCATACAGCTATATAGTCTTTGTCACACCAGACTTCCTTGACAGCACTAAAATCTTTGCACTGGTCATTGAGTAGATACTGGAATGAACCAGAAGTCCATTTTAAGAACATTAGTTTGGCATCACTCTTAGATTGTGCACATATTTTTCTTATTTCTCTAAGTGTCAGTTCTGCCTATGACACAGTGAGGGGTAATATAACTTATTAGAGCCCATACCCTGTGGAATCCTAATTTTCATTTAAGTAAAAACTGGAGGCAGCAGGTGACAGTGTGACAGAGCCTGCATACGCACCAGTCGTATTGATAACTAACAAATTAGGATTCTAAGATCTAAACTTTCAGGGACCAATGACACTTGCTTCCACTGTAAAGGTTCATACTCGCTTCCATTTTCTAAATAGTTGAAGCTCAAGGCTGTGAAAGGAGTTACTATACCTCATTGCTACAGGTGCCTTCATACTATGATAATTGCTTTGACAGCCCAAGGAGCCATTGGAAAGAAAGAGACCTGCCACGGCGACAGTAGAAGCAATCAATAAACTATCTGAGACATCCATCTAGAGTTAAGGCACAAGGGCTTACTATCTTTACATCAAGGAAATAGCCACCTGTTTTGTGGTGTATTCATAGGAAAGTGTAAGTTAGATCATTTTCTACTGAATAATCTTTTATTTTAAACAATATGTTTATGATAAGAAGAAGTTATTGAAAGTCAACTACCTCTGGTCAATTGCCACTTATTGTAACCCTGCCATTGGAGCGAAAGCAACATGGTTCACAGAGATCTTATATACTGTAACTCAGACAACTCATTTTCACCTTATCGCTCAAAGATCTTAGAAAACTAAAGCTGATTTTTAAAATTATGATATAGTTTAGCTGTCCCCAAATTCTCTATAAATGAAAGCATAAAATGAGTGAGTAAAAACATATGCAACTGTAATAGGATGTGACGTGGGAAGGGAGACAGATGCCAGGCTTGAAAGCAGACTTGGGGAAAACAAGGAGAATGAGGATGGGGAGTCCTTCAAGAAGGGGAGACTGGCATTCTTTTCTCCCTATAATATGTCTGCTGGATAGCTGACTCGCTGACCTTTCCAAGCCTGGCTGCACAAAGAGGTCAGATATGAAAGAAGATGGCAAGGCAGAGAAAACCTGCAATGGAGTAGCAGCCATATGCACCTGTTTTAATGTTGTCAGGATGTGTGAATTTCCTCGTGGTAAACTGCACATAGGAGAAAGGAGCTAAAATTGAGGAATCAGGCTATCAATTCACCCAAAAAGGCTGCCTGCCAAGCAAGGGGTCCCTAGAATTAAGAAACTGTAAGGTCTACACCTGGGTGCCCAGGGCAGATTCCCATGCAGTTGGGACACCCAGAGCCCCCCAACAGCAAATAATTCACAAAATTACATGAGAATTAGCATTTGGACAACTGCTTTTAATGCCATTCCATTTCAGCCCTAAAAATAGTGGCAATCAGGCCAGGTGCGATGACTCACGCCTGTAATCCTAGCACTTTGGGAGGCCGAGGTGGGCCGATCACCTGAAGTCAGGAGTTCGATACCAGCATGGCCAAGATGGTGAAACCCCGTCTCTACTAAAAATAGAAAACTTAACCGGGAGCCGTGGCAGGAGCCTGTAATTCCAGGTACTTGCTGGGGCTGAGGCAGGAGAATCGTTTGAACCCAGAAGGCAGAGGTTGCAGTGAGTAGAGATTGCCCCACTGCACCCCAGCCTGGGTGACAGAGCAAAACTCTGTCTCAAAAAAAAAAAAAGAAGTGGCTACCAATGGAGCACTATATCAGCACCATATCAATAAATTTGTGCATTTTTAAAATTTACCTCTTTCCTTTCTATTGCAAGAAACTGGAGAAGCTAAACCCCCACCCCTAAGGAATAAAAGTTCTAATTATGTTGTCTTTGAGTTCTTTAGATATCTATTGCCATGTATCAGTGGACAACAAAATGTAGTTGCTTTTAATAACTGTAAAATATTGTAAAATTGTGATAAATATATTTTCATATTTATTACAGTTTTGTGGGTAAGAATTTGGGTAGGATTTGGCTGCGTTAATATTTCATTTCACGTGGCATTGATGAAGTTTACATTGTGGTTTTCCGCTACCAAAGTGGACTGGACCAAGGGTTCCAAGACAGCATCACTCACATTTCCAGCACACTGGCAGGTCTTGCTGGAAGGCAGAGCTTAGCTGAAGTTGTCAAACTGAGCACCACAATGTGACCTTGCCAGTATGGCTCCCTCTGGGTAGTCAGACTTTTTACCTGACACTTCAGAACTCTAACTGTTCCAATAAGCAAGGCAGAAGCTGCATGATCTTTTATGTTAGACTTACTTTTAATAATGAAAATAAAAGTATTGGGATCAGCTAAAGATGTCAATAAGGCGTGAAAAGGGGTATCTGATTATTCACGTTTGTAAGGAGGCGTTGAAGATAAACGAAACGGTTTCATGTTTACATCCTCACTGAATCGGACTGATCAAAACCCTTCAGCAGAAATACTCACAGATATTCCCTGGATGGAAAGATGGAATTAGCTGCTAAAGTGTTATAAATTTGCACCAGATGCACGACATAAAATAAGGAGGAAGCAAACGGAAGAGATTCGGATGAGATTTTTTCCAAACCTTTCAAGAGCCCATAAGTAGAACTATGGGGAGATGCAATTCTATTTATAACAACTATGTAAGAGCCAAACATCACCATTCCCACCCTGATTCACTACCTGAGAAAGTTGTGATAATAATCTTGATTATTTTGTCAAACAAATAAAATCTATAATCACTCTGTCTAGAGGAATCTATTCTGAACCAAGCAGATACTGAGTCAAAAAGTAAGTCCTAATAAAAGTAAACATTTTGAGACACTCCTTGAAGAACTGCAATTGAAACTCCTGTATATTCCACAGTGATGGTCGTTAAAAGTAAATTTGAATAGATAGTAGGAAGACGCATGAGTTTTTAAATACTCTGATGCCAGAAAATATTTCAGAATGAGTGATTTTATATGATATTTATTTCCCCTCACCTGGCCCTGTGAAATTCACAATGATACGTAAAAGGATCCTGTGTGGAAGAGAAATTAAAACTCAGTTGAATTTTTGAGGGTAAAGCATGAAAAAGGAGGGGGCCACACAATGAAATGCACTACTAGATATTCATGCAATCCTGGAAACAGGACTCATTGGCAGCTGTCACAATTTCTCTGGACTTATGCTGTGAGGAAAAGGAACAGGTTTCTGAGTTTCCCCGCGAGACCACTCAGCTGTCAGTCCAAAAATGAAAAACATCTCAGCAGGGACTCGTTTAGGAGTCTTAAATCCAAAGAACTGCAGTATAACATTGATTTTGTCCATGCCATACTTACTAACTTTACTCGCAATTATGGAGAAATTATACTGCGCAGTGTTTTCTCTGTCTAGTAATTCATTAGTGGCGATGGTTCCTTCATTTCCATCTATTGTGAAGTAGCTGTCCCCATCACTCTTCCAATCTATGAAGTACCTGTATATGAAAAGAGTAGATGCAAATGTGCAATGATTACACATTAATCATAATGACACTTAGGCTAACTTGACACAGTTCCTTATTTTTCTTCCTGTAGCTATTACCCACCTTGCAATAAAGAAGAGTGTAAATGACAGCTTCTTTATTGCAAAGTCAGTATGCTCAAGGGGAAACTGGAAATAATAAAAGATTTAGTACTCCTGCTGTTCATATTATTTTAGGGTCTTGACACCTTGAAAGCTCAGCAGAGACTAAAATTCTAAAGCTGACCATGAGTTTCCTTAACCTGCTGAATATTAAAACTTTTTCAAGCAGTAAAAAAATTCCTTAACAGTGGTTATGGCTGTGGAAATAGGGTTGAGAGAAGCACCTGGAAAATTCTACAGAGGACCCGAGCCAGAACAGAGGTAGCATCTTTGTTTCCAGAGATAGAAAAATAACATCATGGAAACAAAAGGCAAATTTTGTGTAACTGAGAATTTGGTAACTACACTAAAATATTTTCCTCAAACACATATAAAGGGATCATTGTTCTATTTCATTGCTTATTTGTTTCATTGTTGTTTTACTATATATCAGGACACATTAAAAAAAAAACAGTGACTTTGGTTAATGATGTCTCTTTATCTTTTTTATTATCTGACATATTTGATAATAGTGGATATTTCCCTCTATGAAGCAATTGGACTGAAAATTCCAAGAAAATGAATAGCAAAACAGAAAATGCATATGTTTAAATCTTTAGGTAACAGTAGATACATGGATTTATATTATGTGAAATTCTTTCTGACATGTGATTTCATTCTTAACAATCATTAACATTTTTAAATATGACCATTTGATAGATATTATTCTCAATGCTTACACATTGAGAATACAAAATGTATAAAGAATAGTAATCTGTTTTACATATGAGAAAACAGAAAGCATAGAGACATGAAGAAATTTGTCCAAATTAACATAGTTAGAAAGTTGTAGATTGATGTTTGAACCAGGTCATCTTGGTAATATAATTATCATTATATAGTCTTACCAATTTTAAATAGAACATTTTATGGGAAATGATTTTGCTCATCAAAAGGCACAATACACAAAATATTTGTCACATTTTATTCTGGCCCAGAACCAAACAGAAGTCATTTAAAACAATGGCTGAAAATAGATGGCTATATTGTTAGCCCCTTGAAATCCCCATTCCAGAGAAAGTTCTCCCCTTGTTCATTGTGAAAAGTCAGTAAAGGGATATGTATCCTAACATAACAAGCTATTATTTTGACAAGCTGGTTATTTGATACTGTAGCAGTCTGTATGCTATTTTAGTGCTAGATCACTTGCATTTATATTACTCCACACTCCTCTATATCTGTTAGTACGGGTATACTTTATTTTACGGCTCTTCACTTTGTTGTACTTCAAGCCTATTGCATGTTTTACAAATTGAATGTTTGTTGCAACCCTGTGTCAAGCAAGTCATCAGCATCATTTTTACAACAGTAAATCCTCACTTTGTGACCCATTTTGGTAAGTTTTGTAATATTTCAAACTTTTTCATTAATATTATATCTGTTAGAGTGATCTATGAACAGTGATACTTGATGATACTATTGAAATTATTTTGGGTCACAATGAGCTGCATTCATATAAAATTATAAACTTAATAAACGTTGTGTGCCCTCACTGCTTCACTAACCAGCTATTACCCCATCTGTCTCTTGCTCCTTGAGCCTTTCCTATTCCCTGAGATACAACAACATTGAAATTAAGTCAATTAATAATTCTACAATGGCCTCTAACTGTTCAAATGAAAGAGTGTCACACATCTCTAACTTTTAATTAAAAGCTAGAAATGATTAAACTTAGTGAAGAAGGCATACCTAAAACCAAGACAGTCCAAAAGCTAGGCCTCTCATGCCAAACAGCCAAGTTGTGAATGCAAAGGAGGAGTTCTTGAAGGAAATAGAAAGTGCTATTCCGGTGAAGACAGGAAGGATTAAAAAGCAGTGAGTCTTATTGTGGTTATAGAGAAATTGTAGTGGTCTGCATAGAAGATAAAATCATCCACACACATTCCTTTAAGCCAAAAACTAATCCGGAATATGGTCCTGGCTGTCTTCAATTCTATGATGGTGGAAAGAAGCAAGGAAACTGCAGAAGAAAAATGTGAATTAGCAGAGGTTGGTTCATGATGTTTAAGAAAAGAAGTCATCTCCACAACATTGAAGTGTAAAGTAAAGCAGGGAGAACTTATGTAGAATCTGCAGCAAATTATCAAAAAGATCTAAATAAGATCATTGATGAAGGTGGCTACACTAAACAACAGATTTTAAATGTTTAAAGAACAGCCTTCTATTGGAAGAAGATGCCATCAAGAACATTCATGGCTAGAAAGGAGAAGTTAATGCCACTTCAAAGCTTCAAAAAACAATCTGACTCTCGTAGTAGAGGCTGGTACAACCGGTAATTTGAAATTGAAGCCAATGTTCATTAACCATTATAATAATCCTGGAGCCCTTAATAATTTTGCTAAATCTATCTGTCTGTTGCTGTATAAATGGAACAACAAAGCCTGGATGACAGCACATCTTTTTACAGCATGGTTTACTAAATATTTTAAATCTACTGTTGAGACCCACTGCTTAGGAAAAGAAATTCTTTCCAAACATTACTGATAATTGACAATACATCTAGTCACCCAAGAGCTTAGATGGAGATCTTTAAGGAAATGAATTTTGTTTTCATGACTACCAATGCAACATCCATTCTGAAGATCATGGATCAAAAAAGTAGTTTTGACTTTCAAGTCTTATTATTTAAGAAATACATTTTGTAAGGCTATAGCTACCAAGATAGTGATTTATATGACAATTCTTGACAAAGTAAATTGGAAATCTTATGGAAAGGATTTATCATTTTAGACGCCATTAAGAACATTTGTGATGCATGGGAGGATGTCAAAATATCAACATTAACAGGAATTTGGAAGAAGTTATTCCAACCCTCATGGATGACTTTGAGGGGCTCAAGATTTCAATGGAGAAAGTAACTGCAGAGCAGTGGAAATAACAAGAGAACCGAAATTAGAAGCAAAGCCCTAAGATGGGACCGAATTGCTGCAATTTCCTGACAAAACTTGAACAAATAGGGATCTCCTTCTTATACATGAGCAAAGAAGGTAGTTAATTGAGATGAAATCTACTTTTGGCTAAGATGCTATGAATATTATTGAAACCACAACAAAAATTAGAATATTATGTAAACTCAGTTAATAAAGCGGTAACATGTCTTAAGAGGATTGATTCCAATTTTGAAAGACATTCCATGAGAGGTAAATGCTACCAAACAGCATCACATGCTGCAGAGAAATACTCTCTGAAAGGAAGATCAACTGATACAGCAAACTTCATTGTTTTCTTATTTTAAGCAATTGCCACAGCTACCCCAGCTTTCAACAACTACCACCCCCCATCAGTCAGTAGCCATCCAGGTCAAGACAAGACCCTCTACCAGCAAAAAAGATTACAACTTGCTGAAGGCTCAGATATCTTCAGTGTTTTTTTATACAATAAAATATTTTAAATTAAGGTATGCACTTTTTTGTACTTTTTAAAATAGCATAATGCTATTTCATACTTACTACACTATGGTATAGTGTAAACGAGATGTTTATATGTACTGGAAAACCAAAAACAATGTTTAACTTGCTTGATTTCAATATTTGCTCTAGTGGTCTGGAACCAAACCTGTAATATATATCCAAGGTATGTATGTAATTAATTTCTGAACTGCAAGATGCTTTTAGTATTTATTAGGTAGGGTATGAGCCATGCTGTAAATCTGATTTTGACAGATTTCAAAATTTCTTCTGTTTATTGGAGGAGTGAGAAAGCATTAATGTCTTCCAACTTCAATGCGGCACCTTAGCTCACATGAATGCTCTCGAAAATTAAAAATGAAGTTAAGGCACACCTAAAGATCAGGGAACACAGAGTATAATAAGCTTAATTCTCTATAGTGCATATTATTTTCTGAACAAGAAAGCATTTCTCAAAATACTGCTTTACAGCACCTCTATTTAACTTGCCATATGCCTAATTTAAGAGGAAAATTGCCACTGACACTCCTTATAACTGTAGTATTTCTGAAAGAATTGCTGATGTAGGCTAACTGTGTTCAGTTTTTCAATATATTAAGTACTTGCTGAGTGTCTGCTATACACCAGACATTGTTCTAGAGATGAGGCATATAAAAATAAGTAAAGTATGATGCCCATCTTTGAAGACTTTAGTTGGGAAGACATGTATAAAAAGACTGCTTCAAGGCCTGAAAGAGAGATAATAGAGAAGGCCCTATAGGACTGCCAAGAAAACACACTGAATGTAAAACTTGTGGTTCAGGCCATCCTTCCTGCACATAATATTTGGCTTACATTAGAAGTCCATATGGAAATCATTCAAAAGGAGGTTGAAGCAGAAAAACTGAGGGGAGGGATAGAAGATGTCTTAGAAAGCTGCAACAGCAGCTGCAAAACCATGCAGGTCGTGAAGGGGACTATAATTTGCTCAGAATTACTACAGAAAGCTATCTGAGAAGCGCATTAACATGAAAAAATAAGTGATTCTGGTTAAGAAAGATCTTATACATTATGATTAAGGAGGTAGGATTTAATTCTGTAAGAGATGAACACTAATGAAGTCAATTATTAAAATATGGGTTGGAGGTAAATCGCTTTGAAAGTGTATGGTGGATGTATTTGAGGACAACATGACTGTAAGTGATTTTTGTGTGTGCTGCAGAATCTTGACAAGAGACCAACAGAGTTACCAGGGCTGTAAAGAGACTGGATTCAACGGGTTATGAGGAGGAGCTGAAATAAATATGGATATGTAGACCAGAGAAGAAAAGACACAAGAACACCCTAGCTACCTTTAATCGGATAAGGATGTTCATGTAGGCAAGGCGTTAGATTTGCTTGCTATGTTTCAGTGGAATTAAGATAG